CCCCCGGTTCGCGGGGGCATGTGCGGCTGGAGAAATTCCCGCGAGCAATGACGAATTCAGGGTAAAAAGCCGAGGGAAGGAACGTTTAGTGCTTGGGGCAAAGCGCGGAGTGAAAGCAAGGGGGAAATCCCGAGGGAAAATGTCTGAGTTTCTCTCCTGAAATGAAATGTGAGTGTCTTGCTGTGCTCCTTCCCTGTTTTTATCTATTTCTAGGAAGATTTGTAGGAGGAATTCTGCTGGTTGCTCTCAGTCTCCTGCAGCCAGTCCTGGCTTTGCTGGGCTCAGTGTGGGCAGATGAGTTACCCCCAGGCCCACACCTGGTTGAGGATCCAGGCATGTGCCCGCACTCCCCCGTGCAGGAGCTGCCCTGTGAAGCTGCTGGTTGGTGTGAGGGCAGAGTGGGGCTGCTGACCCTGCAGGGCTGTGGGCCTCACACCCTCTGGGAGTGCCAGTAATGTGCTGGCTCGATTTCCCTTCTGGGCAGCCAACACACAGCTGAATTCAGGAAGAATTAACCCTGGTCTCTGGAGCCCCCCAAGTCTCACCTCTCAGTGTCTGGTTCGTGGCTCTGTGGCTGCTGGGGGGGTGTCCCATTCAGGGGGTCATGAGCCTGTTGTCAGACACTTCACCACTGCTGGAGTGGGGCAGCAGTACAGGTGACAGACCACTGACCAGGTGTTTCCTCCCTTCTGCATGTGAAACCCTGAGCTCTGGTTCTCAGGGTAGAAGGTGCAGAATTGGTACTTGTGCTCTTGAGAGACACTCAGAGTAGGTGTGTGCTGAGCAGGCTGACAGTGTCTGAGCTGGTCCCTCCCAGTGACCCTGCAGGGGGCAACTGGGACATTCCTGGAGCACTGAGATGTAATCTCAAAGGTGATTAGTGTGCAAGCAGCTGAGCATGGGCACGGCTCCCATCCCCGTGCCTGGAGCTGCAGTGTGTTCAGGAGCCAGCCTGGGACCAGGTTCTCACCTCACTCACTCCAGGGCTGTCGCGAGTACCTGTGCAGAGGCTGGACGAGGGCCTGGGCTGCAGCTGTGGGTTTTGCACTACCCTACATCCCTGACTTATCCCTGCTGGCAGAGGCAGTGCTGAGGCCCTTAGAGTGGTTT